TCAGCGTCGACCATGAAGAAGGGACAGGTAACTCTGTTTTAGGGATCTCAGCCACTATTCGGGTTTTAAAGCATACATTTTTAGGCGTAGCGTCTATTGATCTTATGTCAACTTCCATTAGAACGAGTTACTCAAAAGTGGAAAATATGCAAACAGGGATTTAAAAAAAATGTATGGCATCAAGCTTTTATAAATGCACTGAAATTAAATAATAAACTTGCATCCTTTAATAAAATTATACAGTAGAGGAATGGCACGCTGTCTACCGGAAAAAAAATCCGTGAGCCCCCTGTACATTTAAGTACTAGATTCTAAGCCCAGAGGCGTAGCGAGGGGGGGGGATGCGGACCGCACCGGGTGACACCATTTGGGGGGGGGGGGGGACACCAAGGCAAAAAATAGCAAAATATATTGAGAAAAATGATAGTTCCACTTAATTAAGTGATTAATTCAATTGTTAAATAGTTTTGAGGGGGGGGGGGGTTGGTTGCAAATCGAAAGTTTGGGGGGGGGGGGGGGGGCAAATCGAAAATTAGAGGGGGGGGGGGGCGGTGCAAGTCAAAAGTTGAAAGTTCGTCCCCAGGAAGGGTCACTACGCCTCTGGGGGGTGACACCATTAAATACCGCACCGGGTGACACCCGACCTCGCTACGCCACTGTCTAGGCCTATTAATAAAGTAAGGAAGTGTGTTTTATTTTCTTAACCTCAATGTATTTGAAAACTTGTTATTATTAGTTTTTTATATCTGTTTTATTTCATTCTATACATCCAACAATAAAGAAAGCTGTTGTTAAACTCTGTGCACATATTTCTTTTATTCAAATACAACAAACATGGAAAATATTTGCTTTTACTTTAATTGTTTGTGCATTTGATTGTATTTTACGATAACGTACTACACACGTATTTTAGAAGTAGGCCCCTTTTCAGTTTAGTTTTTAACAACTATAAAGGTGTAATAGCAAATTCTTTACTCAACGCGAGTGTACCTGTGACGACGTGACAATGTATGATTATCTGAAGTTGTTATGACGTGACAATGTGTGATTATCTGAAGTTGTTATGAAGTGACAATGTGTGATTATCTAAAGTTGTTATGACGTGACAATGTATGATTTTCTGCTTCGGAGATCTTTTCATATGAAGGGTTAGTGTGGTCAGCACTATGCCCAGCCGCCTATGCTTTCCTTCATGGATGATCTAGTAGTCTAGCGATAACAAAATTTTTGTCTTGATATATGATTCATTACAATGGGATAATATATAATACCACTGATTCGTTGATGAGGGATTATATTTAATACCAATGTCCTTCAAATGGGATACACAGCCCTTTAAAATGGGATCAAATTTGCATGTTAAAACTGTAAAAATTGACTCTGGTCATACCAGCATAAAAACTATTCTGACTGCTATTAATGTCTACATATTTTACTGACGAAGCACACATTCAAAGAAAATACTTAGACAAAATTACTGATTTTTAAAAATATAAATAAAAACATGTGAATATGGTTTTAAAACGTCTGAATATATATAATTGTGTACAAAACTGAATGCATTAGTTTATAAAAAGAGGATAGGCCAACAGCTCGAAATACCATACACTGTAGTATTACAGATCTGATATTAATATAGACCAAAGTATGTGACCATGAAGCATGAACACATTAACACAGCATGAAAGCTCAAATAACGCTTCCAACAGGCTTGTAAAGACCATTGTCTAATCAAGTAAATGTTTTTTTACGGGATCCATTCAAGTCTGAACAGCAACAGACTGTTGAACGTGAGAAATATTCGTACCTGATTGTTGAAAACAGTTGGCAATCACACCTGATTGCTTGCTTCAGGTAACAACAGGCAAACAACGGGCAGACAACAGGTAGACAACAGGCAGACAACAGGCAAACAACGGGCAGACACCGGGCAGACAACAGGCAGACAACAGGCAGACAACAGGCAGACAACAGGCAGACAACAGGCAGACAACAGGCAAACAACGGGCAGACAACGGGCAGACAACAGGCAGACAACAGGCAGACAACAGGCAGACAACAGGCAGACAACAAGCAGACAATAGGCAGACAACAGGCAGACAACAGGTAGACAACAGGCAGACAACAGGCAGACAACAGGCAAACAACAGGCAGACATTTGGGAAACAAGACATACCTGTGCCATTCTAGGAACAGCTGTCACTCCCGAACGGTATCGTAATTGATCGTAATTTTTAATCCTATTGTGAATCCAAAAGGTCAAACTTGATTTTCAACGCTAATTGTAAACCTTTATTGTCAACCTTATTGTCGATTCTAATGTCAACTATAATGATCAACCATGATTGCCACACCAATTTTCAACCCTAAACTTTAACTGTATTGACAACACTTAACTCTCAGCTCAAATTGTCAACCCTAATTGTTTACCCTAATTATCAACACCATTAGTCAATCTAATTGTCTAACTTAAATGAAAACTTAAACTGTTAACCTTAATTGTCAACCCTAACTTTCTATCAAAATCTTCAACCATAATGTTAACCCAAATCGTCAACCTTAAATATAAAACCCAATTGTCTACCTTAAATATCAATCTCAGTTGTCAACCCTAATTGTGAACTATAATGTAAACCCTAATTGTCAACCCTAAGTATCCAATGTTAACAACTTCCCAGGTGTATGTTCCAATGATTGTTAGTTTCTAACATTTTGTCTTTCCATTCTTGGAAAATGGATTGTTTCATAACAAAGATCACACTGTTATTGCAAATATGGAAAACAATATGCAGAGACTGTAGGGGAACGAGTAATCAATCAATCGATCAATCAATCGATCAATCAAGCGAACAATAGATCGAGTATTAACCACCGGGGTAATCTGTTCTAAGTAGTTCTGCAAATGATAGCTCAGTATATTATTTGAAATCCACCATACGATATCGTCATTGTATTGGGCAGTGGCGTAGCGAGGTGGGGGGCGAGGGTGCGGACCGCACCGGGTGACACCATTTAGGGGGTGACACCAAGGCAAAAAATAGCAAAATATTTAGAGAAAAATGATAATTCCACTTAATTAAGTGATTAATTCGAGTCTTAAAAGTCTTTTAAGAGTAAATTTGACGAATCCCGACAAGGGTGGAGGTGGGGGGGGGGGGCGGTGCAAATTGAAAGTTTAAGGGGGGGGGGGGCAAATCGTAAATTCAAAGTTTGTCCCCGGACGCCGTGAAGGGTCGCTACGCCTCTGAGATGTGACACCATTAAGTGCCGCACTGAGTGACACCCGACCTCGCTACGCCACTGGTCTTGGGATAGTATTACTATTAGCTTTGTATCCGCTTTCAAAGATATTCAAAAAATGTAATTGCCGCATAGATATGTAGTATAGTAAGTTTGCGTTTTATTGTTTTATTTCGGCACATTCATAGATTCAACACAATTAAAAAGGATCGATATTTTGAAGATATGAGTTCTCAGAAACAACAAGGAAGTAGTTGAAATGCAGTGAAATATGGCTTACATTATGTGGGTTTAGTAATACCAGAGTAATTTAATGTTTTGAACGACATTTTTGTTTCAAAATAAGGAAGTCTGTAAATTTTTTTATCTGAAACATGTGTCTGAGATATTTTGACTGAGATTTTTTATGTATGAGATTTATTGTCTGCCTAAGATATATGTCTGAGATATTTTTTATGTCTGCTTACTGTATTATATCCGGCCTAACTATTCTATATCAAATATTTTGTCTGCTTGATGTTTTTAAAAGGGTATATTTTGTCTTTCTAAGATATTTTCTCGGAAATATTTCTCAGGCAAATTTTGCCTGCCTTTAGCTTTTGTGTGAGAAAATGTGTTGTCCTGTTACTTTCAAATCAGAGTCTTTATCTGCCTATAAGATATTTTCTCAGAAATATTTCGTCTGTCTGAGAAAGTTTGTCTGTGTGTTGTTTTTTGTATGAGATGTGTTGACTTCCTAAATGTTTATCTCTGAAATATTTCGTCTATCTAAGATTTTTTTGTATGATTTTTTTAAATGAGGTACTGTGTCTGTCTAAAATATTTACTATGAAATATTTCGTTAGTCTGAGATTACTTTTGTATGACCGAATTTTTTTTGTATGAGAAATGTTTCCTATTCCTTTTGTATGATGTAGACCAAGGGTTCCCAACCATGTGCCCGCGGGCGCCATGGCGCCCGCCGAACGATTCGTATGTGCCCGCCTCTCACTATTCGACAGAGACAGAATTTTTTTCATAAACACTATTGAAAGGTTGAAGGGGATGGAAATCGAAAGTTTGAGAGGGGGGAGGGTGGGTGCAAATCGAAAGTATGAGGGGGGGGGTGCAAATCGAAAGTATGAGGGGGGGAGGTGCAAATCGAAAGTATGAGGGGGGGAGGTGCAAATCGAAAATATGAGGGGGGGGGGTTGCAAATCGAAAGTATGAAGGGGTGGGGTGCAAATCGAAAGTTTTGTCACCGGGTGACGGGAAGGGTCGCTACACCTCTGGAAGGAGTTTGTCGATTTAAAATAGGTGGTGCCCGCCACCCTACCGATATTTTAGAATGTGCTCTAGAGTAAAAAAAGGTTGGGAACCCCTGATGTAGACATAACTGTGTCGGCCTAAAATATTTTCTATGCAATAGTTCGTGTCTCAGATTTTTTTTTTGAAAAACAAAGACATTGTTTATATATCTTTAAATAACCTGTTTTCAAAACACAATTGACAGTGTTGCCTATAGTTTATACAATAGTTTCTAGCACAGCAATACCGGATATAAAGCAGTCAGGTATGCAATACAATAAAAAAGGGGAGATTATATTCTAAGGCAGCGCGTGATGCATTAAGGGTAACGCGACAGGTTACAAATGAACATTTCGGTGTCTGGAATTCAGTCGAGCTAGGAGAGTGTTGGAATCAAATGCACATTAGTGTATTGTGCTTGAAGATTAAGGTGGAACGTCTTATTAGTGTAGCAACTTGGCAAGATGCGGTGT